TTTTTTCTATTTAAATTTATTTTAGTTTTCTATTTTGTTAGTTTTTTGTTTTGTTTTGTTTTGTTTTTGAAACTTAGTTTTTTTCGCAATGATTAATATAAAAAAACTTGCGAAAGACCAAGTTGTCTAAATTAAAATTTATTTTAATTTCCAATTTTGCTAGTTTTGCTTTAGCCTTTTCGTTGTAGTTTTTTTATTGTTTTTAATATCACATTCACACATAAAATTCAAAGTGAATGGCTGTAAACAATTACTTGTGTTTAAAAATGATGAAAAACAGTATCTGTGGTTAGGGTCAAAGCTAATTAGAAAAAATTTACCATAAATATGCAATTTTAAAACACATTTCCAGGTAGCTTAACATTTTTTTTTAACAACTTCGCTTCCAACAAGGCTGCAAGCAACCACTAATTAGTGTTAAAAGTTACTGGAAGAGAAAAGATGAGGATTTTAGAGCAAGATAACAATTGACAGATGACTTAAAAGATTGCAAATTATATGAATCAGGAAAGCAAGATAAAGGAAGCGAATTCCAAAGCACTGATTTTCGAGGAAAAAAACTAGACGAATAAGAGTTTTTGGAGCACTTAGGAACAGTAACAGAAAAAGGATGAGACTTAATTGAATGACAAGTAACACGAGAATGAATTTTAGTAGATGACACAAGAGACGATAGCTCTTTAGAGCAGTGCGAGGGCCGTACTAGGCCAACTTTGCGCTTCGGGCAAGCAAATAAAATTGCGCCCCCCTCCCAAAAAAATATACAAAAAACACATTATATATATATATTTACATGAAAAAAAATTAATTATTGATCACAAAATTTATCGCATCAAGTTAAAAGAACAATTTGTCACCAATGTTTCACAAACTTCAGTTCAAGGTCAATTTTCTGGCTTTTTTGGAGGCAAAGTCACTAATGACATCATCAAAATCAAGTGCGTTGGCCACTTCATGTTCAATTGAAACTACTGCCAGACAAGACAAACGTTCTTGGCCCATAGTTGATCTCAAATAGTTTTTTATGATCTTAAGTTTACTGAAACTTCTTTCACACGTGGCAACTGTAACTGGTAAGGTGAGGAAGATGCGAATAGCAATTGCCGTGTTAGGATAAGCATCAGTCAATGAGTATTTATGAATGAGCTGCAAAATGTCCATCGGGCTAGATTTTTCAAAGTTTTCCATCATGGCAGCAGCTTGATATTTAAAGCTTGCCATTTCTGACTGGAAATCTGAAGAATCTAAATCTGCCTTGTAAATTTTAGACAAATTTTTGGCTTTAGTCTTAAGTTCATCCACTGAACCTTTGGAGAGAGAATGTCCACTGAGGAAGTCAAAATCTGAGGATACTGCAGACATAGCTTCAAACCGCCACTCAATTTGTGTGAGAATGCTGTCAAACACAAGGTTGCACTGGGATCCGAAATCTGTTTCTGGTGACAAACGGCAAAAGTCATCTTCAGCTTCATAAAGTGCCATCTGCTTCACTTTGCGCTTTCTCTTCATAGGAAAGTCTCCTTCAATTCCAATTTGGATAGCCATTTCTGCAGCAGCTTTGATAATGTTGTCCACCCCAACATCTCTCAGATTCTGAATGGAAGCCTTCAGTCCTTTCATTTTTTTTGCTGCAATGTCAATTGAAATGTTTTTAGCTTTAAATTTAGCTTCTCTGACATTTGACAAAATTTCATTCCTGACTTTCTGCCCAAGTAATTCAATCAGCTCATTTTGAATTCAAGGAGAAAAGTAGGATATTGTGGTTTTCTTTGCCTTAACGGATGCAATGTGTTCAGCCACTAAAGGATAATAATGGCTTATCAGCTCAATTAAGTTCAGAAAGATGCCACTGTTTTGCTCTCCAATTACTTCTGTTGAACCCCGAAGGGCAAGATTGTTCTTGGCACAGAACAAAATTGCATCAACAATCACTTTCAAGATATCTCTCCACTTTTTCATCTCTCCGTTGATAACTCTCTGCAGATCATAATCCAAGGTCTTTCCTTCCTTGAGATTTTTTTCCAGATTTTTCCAATCAGAATAGCATCTTTGGTGTTCATTGCTGTTTTCGTGTTCTGGAATTCTTGGGTTTAGTTTTTTCCAGTCACAAAATCATTTTGAAATTTCTGAAAAATTGTTGGTTTTTGTCGTTTAAAATAGCAGACAGCAAAAACAAAACAAAGAATCTTTTTTGTTGCTGTACAGCAGCCAGTAGCGAACAAATTTTTCACCATTGGGATGAATTTTTTCATACCATTTTGAGCTGAAGTGTTGCATTCTGTTGTCAAAGTCACAAAGTGTGTTTGGGAAAAATTCTCTTCTTTCTTGCTCCGGCCATTGTAAAAAATAATGTTCAGAAAATACAACTTTTTATTTTTTAATTGTGCTCTTCTATTATTTATTTATTTTTTCTTTTCTTCTCCCTCTTTATTTTTATTATTATTTGCTTACTTTACTTTCTTTAGCTTTCATTTCATTTGTTTCTTTATTTAAGCCGCTTAAATTAAGCATTCTTTTTTTTAAATTCGAAGTTCTTTTTTTTTATATTTTTTTCTTTTTAGAATAATTTTTAATGTGTGCGTTAAATTAATTTATATGATCCTTAATGAATCATTTGTTTATATTATAAATAATTATTGGTTTTTAATTGTCGTTCTTAAATTCAGCACCAGATTATTTTTTGCACGATTCATTGTAAAAAATAATATTCAGAAAATACAACTTTTTAGTGTTTAAGGGCGCTCTTCTGTTTAGTAAATGAGCTTTTATTTTAAAGTTCGTCAGAAGGCGCAGTTTTAATTAATTTTCTTATCAACATAAAAGTGACGCCACGCAAATTAGTTTCATAATGTGAAAATAAATAAATTAATTTGGGGAATTTTGCGCCCTCCCAATTTTGGCGCCTCAGGCCGCGGCCCGGCTGGCCCCACCCTTGGTACGGCCCTGAGCAGTGCTCATTATAGTATTTGTAGAAAAGAGAAAGAGAAGCAACATTACGACGATGTGACAGAGGTTGAAGGTTGGCTGCAAGAGCAGGTCCAACTATGTTTACAATGCATTTTTGCACCTTGTCTTAGAGAGAAAGGGCATCATTAGAAGACCCACCCCAGATATGGCAACAGTATTCCATACAAGGCCGGATTTGAGATTTATAGAGATAGAGAATAGAATCTAGAGTAAGAAAGTGACGAGCTCGATAAAGAGAAGCAACTTTAGCAGATGCTAATTTTGCAACGGATTTGATATAAGGTTTCCAAGAAAGATCAGAAGTAAGAGTTAATCCTAGAAGATGAAGGGTAGATGACTCATCGAGTACATTACCGTTCATAAATATAGAAAGGTCTAAATTATTGCGATAACAATTGGCTGAAAAAAATTGAGTTTTATCTGAATTAAAGTTCACCAGCCACTGTGAGCCCCATGCTGTAGCAGAAGTGAGATCCTTTTCAAGCTAGGTTGCCCCCTGTAAGCAATCAGAGGGAGTTGGCTTCTTATCGTGACAAGAATAAATGGTAGTATCATCAGCAAACAATACCACCTTAACGAACACCCAGCGAACAATGCCACCAGCGAACAATGCCAACATAACTAAAAGAATTTTTTTTTGTTTTTTTAGTTTTAAATTAGTTGTACACAAGTTTTCTATATGTTATATATGAATATTCTATATTCTATTTGTTATATATTTCCTATATACGTTTTTCTATATACTGAATTTTTGGTAAAACTTTATTCAAAATAAGTATGACACACTCTACTACAACAGGAAGAAACTAGGAACAGCAAACAGAATTTAAAGTTAGAATTCTAAATATTTTGCGGGAGCCACTTCTTGACAAAAAATTTGTATTCATGCCACCACTACACATTAAGTTGGGCTTTATAAAGCATTTTGTAAAAGTTCTCAATCAAAAACTGCTTGCTCATAAGTGCTTTCTAGAGTTCTTCCCAAAATTATCTGAGGCCAAAATTAAAGGTGGGATTTTTGATGTATCTCAGATAACGAAACTGCTCAAATAACAGACTTTTCTAACAAGTTCAGCATTATTTGGAAAAAAAGCATGGAACTGTTTTAGGAAAATGGTCAACAGCTTTTTAGATAAAGCTTTCATCACGATAGAATGCAGGACCTTGAACTCCATATGCTCACTTAGATAAACTCAAGGACAATATGGATATATAAACTTTTCTGAAAAACAAAGTGGTAAATTGTATTAAAGGAGATGGAGCAGAAGAAAATGAAGCAGAAGTAGCAAAGCCTTTACAATGAGAAATGGTGGTTGATGCGAGAGTAGAATCTTGACTGCTGTCGAAAATCTAGAAAATCCAAACATTTTTGATGTGTTTTTTTTGTAAAACTATTATGTATTTACTCATTTTATTCTATGATTTTGTGTTACAAAGCAAATATCTGGTCTGTTGATTTACAAAGTTAATAACTAACCTGTTGATTATTGTTGAGTTTTATGAGCTGAATTATATATAAAACTTAAAACTTAAAAATTTTATCAAAATCTGGTTTTAGGCTCACAAGATTTTTTTTTTTTTTTGTAATTCACCTCCCCAAGGCCGAGAAGGCCACTACAGATGAGGAGGCTACTTGTGGTTAAAACCCTCTCTCAACTCTATAACTCCAAAACACAAACCTTGACAAACAAGGCTGCTGCCCAGAGAAATAAGATATGAACAAATAAAATTACGAACTTTCATTTTGAGGACATTTTACAGTTTCATAAAAAGTCTTCAAAAATAATAAAACAAACAGGTGACTCATTGGTTTGATAGGTAACCTATTAGTTTGATAGATAACTCATTAACTTCAATATATCAAAGTAAATAAGAAATAAAAAGTTTTACAATGCAAAACACATAAAATTTTGATGTAACAAATTTTGGTAGAAAATATACAACATTTACAAAAAAATTTCCGCAAATTTCTAATCTCTGACAAAAATTTCAATTGACACGCCTTGGTCAAACCCTTTTAATGTAGAACATACCTGAGCAACCATACTTGAAACATTATTAGCATTAGCAGGAATGATAACTGTGTTGCTTGTTTTAGCAAGCTGACTAAATGCTTGAATATACTAAAATAAAATAAAAATTACTATTTAAATATTAAAGCATTAACTTCTTTAAAATTAAAGTAAAAAAATATCTACCATTTTTATTAATTGTCATATCTTATTTATCAAATATTCATTCTCATCATAATCACAAGCTTTAAGCCTATGATTTGAGCTCAGAGTCTTTACACATGAAAAAAATCCTATAAATTTAAATGGAACATATCTAATCTCACACATAATAACTGTTACATCACAAATTAATATATTTGATATTTTTTTGGTCACACTCTGAAAATTTTAAAATTCTTTTTACAACGATCACACCCTAGTAAGAGTCAGCAAACAAATGATACTACAAAGGCATTACATCCTGTCATTGATATAATATAACGTTTACAATATAGCAAAAGAAAATATAAAATATAGCAAAATATAAAATCCAATTCTAATTAATTGAAAAATCAAGGTCTGTCAAAGCATTTGCAACAATACAAAATCTTTTTATAGCATTTGGAAAATCTGTTTATGAATTAAAGTATTTTCAGTTCTTCATACAGATGCTACATTAAATCATGATGTTTTATTACATTTTTGTTACATTCAACAAATAACTTTCAAATTATCATGTCCAGAGTAAAAAATGCATTTCTATATAGCATATAGAAATGCTTTTATTGATGTTTCACTATTTTATTAACCTAACTATCATCAGAAAAAATCCTTTAAGAATAAGTTTGAACAGCTTTAATTTAAATTATTATTTAGACTAAAACCCAGACTACTAAAACCAAGAGCAAGTACTCAATTAGTCAGTCTATCACCAATAAAATCATTTAAAGTCAACACTTTAAAAGTCACTCACCTGCTCAGCTACAGACAATGCAGCAGCTTGATTGCCAGACTAAAAAATTGTAAGAGAAAACCTTTACATAAAAATATTTTTAGTAATCTGGGAACAAAAAGTGATAAAATACAAACAACACACAGCTTGATTTAAAGCATTTGAGATCATTGTTATCGCCTCTGCTCTTGCTTTTGCAGTGGCCAGTAAAGCATTTGCTTCTCCAGATGCTTTGTTAATTTGAGATTCTCTTTGACCTAAAATTTTTAAAAATATATTTATGCTAAAATATTTATAATTAACATACACAGCCTTGAAAATCCGAAGTTTGGCACAAGAGTGTCATACTTAGCCGACTGAAGGTCAGCAAAGTACAGAAAAAATTTGATCAACACTATAGGATTACAAAACATTATCGAAAAAACTGAAAATCATGGAATAAAGCTGTTCTATTACATAGTTTAAATAATGATAAAAAACAAAACAATCTAAAATCCTCTAAAGTTTTTAGCTTAGCAGCCAGCTTACTATCATAACAATATTATTAAAAAAAATTGTGTACAACTTTATCTCTTGCTGCTCATTATACCTTTTGCATTATCATATTTTTGTATTATTATATCTTTGTATCACTATACAATTGTATCATTATATCTTGATTCACTTATGTATAAAATTACTGCTTGTCAAACCATGCTTTTAAAGTGTAAAAGTTGCGCACACACAAAAAAACAGTTTATAAATGTTGTTATTACAAATGTTATTATAAATGTTATATGTAAAAATGTGAATAAACTATTCTAAATAATAAAATAAAAAAAGATTTTAAAACTTAATAAAATTAAAATAATCAGGTTAATTTTGAAAAAAAAAGAAGCAAGACAGCAGATATATTGAAAAAAAAATTTATGAAAAATTAACTTTTGAATAAATTGGGTTGAATTTGAAATTGAAGTTTTGAGCGAAATTGAAGTTTTGAAAATGAATTTGAAGTTTGGAACAAACAGGGTTGAAACTTTTAAATAAATTGGGCTTGAATTGTTGGGTTGAAAACTTTGAAGAAAAAAAGCAAACGAATGCAATTAATGAACTTGCCATTTCTTGACTCTGTATTTTATTTTTTCTCAACTGAATGCAATTGTAATTGTATGAAAAACATGAATGCAGTTTGTAAATTTGTCTAAATATTAAATATACTTAAAATACAAACCTTCTGACTCTAAAACAACTGCCCTTTTTTTTCTCTCTGCTTCAACTTGCATCTGCATGGACTCACGTACTTTAGTAGGAAGTTGAATGTCTCCTAATAAAATCAAATTACATCAATAAAATAAAACTAAAGAAGAAAAAAAACAACAAAAAAACAACAACAATAACAAAAAGAAATTAAACTTACGTATTTCATATCGTAAGCATTTAATGCCCCACACCTTTGCAGCAGAGTTTATTGCTTCTTAAAATTTAAATATTTGTTTGTTCAATTTAATTGTTAATAAGAACTTAAATATATATTAAAGATATAAAGTATGTATTATATATGTGTGCATTTGTGTATCTGTGTATACATATATATATCAGGGTGTAAACTAGCCCTATGGGGCCCTGTCAAACGTGGTATTCCCAAATGCTCAAAGAATTAAAATTCCCAATTTAAAAGCGGAAAAATCTCATTTTCCAAATAAAGTTTGACAAATTAAAGTTTAATAAAAATTCTAAAAAATTATTGAAAATTAATTATTATTAAAAACTAATAGAAAAATAAGATAAGAAATTCTTATTTATGTATTGTGTAAAACTTGAAATTAAATTGCAGTCATTAACTACGTTATTGCATAACTGTGAAAATATCTCTTGGAATAAATTTTTTGAGAATTGGGATTTTCCTAGTGATGTTAGGGATTTTCTTGGCAACTTGCTTTTAAAATTTATTTTGCAAAATTTGAAAATAATTCTACGCAATGTTCCAACAACAGCAAATATTATATAAAAAAGTTAGCAAGAAATAAAGTACAATCTAAAAAAATAACAAATTTGCTTGGTTTAACATCCGCAAATGCTATTTCATTACAAGTTTTACCTTTTTTGGGCCAAAAGATAAATAACTTATCAAGTCTAACTGCAAACTTCAAGTAATAGATGTTGGTCAACTTCGTCAAAAAAAAATCTAGCAATATAATGTTTACAATACTTTAGAAATTTTGATTAATTTTAAATTTAGAATAAATTTTAGAATAAATTTTGATTAATTTTGGTTTACGGTATACTTACGGTAAGTCTTTTAGTTATTTTTTTTTCATTTTTGTTTGGTATTTAATGTAAACTGAATTAGGTATTCGCATTGACTAAAATCTTTTTTTTACTTATCTGCTATCAATTTTAACTGACTTTTTTTAAAAGACCACCTCTGAATTATAAGTTAAATACAAAAATTAATTTATGGTTATAACAAACTGGGACTAAAAATTTATTTAACGAGAAAAAATAGATTTTTTTACTTTACTGCTTGTTTGAATTTAAAACGTAAAAGCATATTTAAATGTTTGAATGAACCATAGTCATAATAACATTTTATGAAAATAAATGAAAAAATAATAATTTGTATTTTTTATTTTTTGCCTGTTAGCATGCAATCGCTTGCAATCAATATTCTTTTGTAATTAAATGACATTTATTATTGTTTTTACTCAGACTTTGTAATTGTAACTCTATGTAACTGTAATTGTAACTCTATGTAACTGTAATTGTAACTCTATGTAACTGTAATTGTAACTCTATGTAACTGTAATTGTAACTCTATGTAACTGTAATTGTAACTCTATGTAACTGTAATTGTAACTCTATGTAACTGTAATTGTAACTCTATGTAACTGTAATTGTAACTCTATGTAACTGTAATTGTAACTCTATGTAACTGTAATTGTAACTCTATGTAACTGTAATTGTAACTCTATGTAACTGTAATTGTAACTCTATGTAACTGTAATTGTAACTCTATGTAACTGTAATTGTAACTCTATGTAACTGTAATTGTAACTCTATGTAACTGTAATTGTAACTCTATGTAACTGTAATTGTAACTCTATGTAACTGTAATTGTAACTCTATGTAACTGTAATTGTAACTCTATGTAACTGTAATTGTAACTCTATGTAACTGTAATTGTAACTCTATGTAACTGTAATTGTAACTCTATGTAACTGTAATTGTAACTCTATGTAACTGTAATTGTAACTCTATGTAACTGTAATTGTAACTCTATGTAACTGTAATTGTAACTCTATGTAACTGTAATTGTAACTCTATGTAACTGTAATTGTAACTCTATGTAACTGTAATTGTAACTCTATGTAACTGTAATTGTAACTCTATGTAACTGTAATTGTAACTCTATGTAACTGTAATTGTAACTCTATGTAACTGTAATTGTAACTGCTATGCGATTATGTATAGAGAAAATTAATATTATTTATAAAATTGAACTCACAATTAATGTGAAATATGAAATGTATGAGCTCTTGTTTACTATTTTTTAAAACCTTTTTTATTTTTATAAAACATTTCTTTTGATATCACAAATTATTACATGATGGTATAAGGGTACATCCATAAAGGGCGTCGAGCAGAATTTAAATAATAAATAAAAATAGAAGATCAGTGGCTTTCTTCTGCGGAGATTTTCATTGAACATAAACTGCTATATTACTCTAAAAATCGCCCTTTAATGCCCACCATTAAAAAAGAAATATATTCAAAAGAATACTCTTATAATGAAAGCAACAACGATATATTAGGAGTTTAATTTACAGCTTTGTTGTAAAACCACTTTTAATTTTGTGTTGATTTCATATTCATCTTTAATATATGTTACAGACAATATTTTATTTTATTTTTGCTGTCTAATCAATGTATGCAGAACTGAAGTGGAATAGAAGAAGAAAAAATATAAGAAAAGGACTCCACGCATTCCCGAAACACATTTAAATTGCAGGAAAGGAGGGCAGATGATTGGGAAATATTTTGACAAATTTCCAATTTTTTCAAAACGCTGCATCAAATTTATTCCTGGTTAACACACTGTGTGTATATAATTATATATATATATATATATATATATATATATATATATATATATATATATATATATATATATATATATATATATATATATATGTATACATATATTTATATGTATAAATATATGTATACATATAAATATATATATACATATAAATATATGTAATATATATATATATATATATATATATATATATATATATATACATATATATATATATATATATATATATATATATATATATATATATATATATATATATATATATATATATATATATATATATATATATATATCAGTGGTATACCCTCTGGTTTTTTCCTGGTTGCAATGTGAGCAACTAAAACAGTTTTCATTTCTCATTTGAGTTGTTCGCAACGGTTATCAGTAGTCCGGTGAATAAGTTTTTTGTTTTTGTTTTTCGGGTGAAAATACTGAAGAAGAAAAATTAAACATCAGACTATTAGAATAAGTCTTATAAGAAACGGTTTATTTAATAATAGTTATTAATAAAATTAATTTTCTTTTGTAGGTTTTTGTGGATTTCTGTCGTAGTCAATATCCTTTTGTTTCTTTTCGTCAATCTTAACAAAGGTTTCATTACGTGAAGAAAAAATAATGAAAGCCATAACAGCAAAGAAATGTTTTATATATAGAAAAATATTCTATTATCCTCTATCAACCTTCAATCAAATTTAATTTAGTTAAATGTTTAAAACATTTTTTTTTTTTAATTTTTTAAACATTTTTCATTAAACTAAGACTTCTTTTTTCAAGTCTTCCTAGGAAAGACGTGCGGTTTTTTCTCGTACGACCACGAAAACGTTTTTCAAGCTAGAGAACGTGATCACGGCTGTTTGCGCAAGTTATATTATATGCGTTACTGGAAAATTGATTTAAATTTAATAACTACATAAGAAATTAAAGTAAACTTAAATAGAAAACAATAGTTTTTTAATAGTTTAATTAATAGTTTAAATAATTTGTGTTATGTTTTTATTTTTGTTTTTTCTTAGTGGTTATTATTATTGGAAATAAAAATTCATTAAGTCAAAGCAAATAAAAAAAAAGGAAAAAAAAAACGGTTTTAGGCGTTAAAAAGAATGACTTTCCCATGCTTTATGTGTTTTATTTAAAGATGAAAGAGAAAATATGTATCATAATCTGTTTGTAAAATATATTTGTATAATTATAATGTAACAAGTTTATATCAAGAGTTAAACTATAGGATCGCGATTTACAAACTCTGGTAAAATATTAGGTCTTTAAAATTTTAGTTCATTCAAAGCTGTGTACTTTGTTTATAAGAAGCAAACTATTAAAAGTTTGCTAGCGAGAAAGTTACAAAAAACAAAACAAAAGCAATAAACTTACGACTACAAAAGTAAAAACACTTTAGTCACTAACTGCATTATAAAAGTAATAAAACTATAATAGTGTTATTACATTTATAAAGCACTTATTACTTTTAAAGTTCATTCTTTGTTCAAACAACATTATTAATTCCAAACATTTATTAAAGTAGAAAAGCATCTAGAAAAAATAAAGCGGATACTCAAATATTATTAAAAATTTCAGGAACTTTCACAGATCACTTAAACAACGTTAAAAAAAGTACTTTATGAAAAGTATAGCATTGTGAAAAACGTTACGTAAAAATGCGCGTTAATTTTAAAATCAACCAATAAAAAATTTTTATTGGTTAATTTTGAAATTAACGCGCGTTTTTACAGTCCATTAGTAACGTTTTTCATAATGCTAAACTTTTAATGCGATACATTTTTATAAAGTTGTTTGTCAAATTTTTATAAGTTACTTTAGTTTTAATATTATTTGAACATCCACTTTATTCTTTTAGATATTTTTCTACTTCAATTAAAATTTGGGAATACTTAATTTTAAAAGTTATAAGTGTGTTATAAAAAGTAATAACACTACTATAGTGTTATGACTTTTGTAATGCAGTTAGTGACTAGAGTGTTATTACTTTTGTAATCGTAAGTTTATTGTTTTATTTTTTATTTTTTCGCTTACAAATTTAAGTTGATTCTCCCCTTAAAAACAAGGAACACGGTTTTGTATAAACTAAAATTTTGAATACTAGATATTTTTCCAGATTTTGCGTTTTGCATTCGCTTAATTCAACCCTTGTTGTTACATTAAAATTATACAAATAAATTTTATAAACACATTGCAATTTGTATTTTTGCTATCCTCTTAAAAAAAAATTAAGAAAAGGGAAATCATTCTTTTTATTGTAGACTTCAAACTGTTTTTTTTTTGCTTCACCTTATCTAATTTTGTTGCTGAATGTAACTCTAAAAAAAACAAAAAAACAAAATTTTTTTCTATTTCAATCTCTTTTTATTTTGTTAGTTTTGTTTTTTTTTGTTTTTGAAACTTTTTCAGCATTATTATAAAACTTGCAAACGGCCGTGTTCACGTTTTCTAAAATAATATAATTGTGTGTGGTCATACGAGACTAAAAACCGCACGCCTTTCCTGGGAAGGCTTGTTTTTTTTTTAGGAAAAAAGAATTTCCACGTGCATTGTTAATTGCGATCTAATAATAATTTTTCATGTGCATCTTAATGTTTTTTATTTTGTTAATTTTAATTGACAAAGTAAATAAATATTTATTTTACTAAAGAAAAACAAGAAATTTAGCATTATTAATGATTAAACTGCAATGTGATTTAAAGACTACAAGGTTTGAAAAATGATACAATTGCATTTAAAAATGAAAAAAAAATGTAATTTTAAAACTCATTTTTAATTGAGAAGAAGCGTGCTTTAAAATGCAACAACAATAAAAAAAAAAACAGTACAGTAGAACTTCAAATATTAAATCACATGTTGGCTACTTTTTATTAAGTTTGGTGAAATTATATAACGCACCATAGTTTACTCATTGTTAAACTACTTTAAATGCTTTTTAAAGTATTCTTTAGAATAATTGCAAAGAATAAAATCTTCATGGATCAAAATATGGTTTTATTAACACACTTTTGTAAGTAACAAACTGTCTGGTCATCCTGCCGGGCTACTGACAGGCATTTTTGAAAAAATTTCAGTCGCCCTTGGAGAAAACGAGTTGTCCCGTGCCACCGGACAACCATGATCTTGGGGAGCTGTGCGAGCTGCTTCTCATTTAAATTGGCGCTCTTTTTTAATTTTAACTTTTTTTTTTTGCAGCAACCGTGCCTTTTAAAAAGCATTGCAGTATATTATGCAATTAATTTTTTAAAAATCACATTTTGTTATTTATTTTACAACGATTATTATACTTTTGGGAGAAAAATTATACTTTTGCAAGAACTGTAAATTGCTCCCGTAAACCATTTTAGGGGATTGCGGGCAAGAGCAAGAGCTAATCTAATCAACAAGATTAAGAAGATTATATAAAGATAATAAAATAATTAAGAAGATTATATAAAGATAATAAAATAATTAAGAAGATTATATAAAGATAATAAAAATAATGTATATGAAACTTGACCATGTATAAGAAATTTGTTGTGCAATGACTACCCAATGCAATGACTTTCAAATGCGATGAACGTTTTCAAAATACTGTTAAATATTATGCTTGTTTTTAAAAAAAGTTTAAATCTAACTAATTGTAGGAGAAGATACAATGATAAAAATTCATAAATTGTTATAATTGTGGGAATAGGTGGAGATATTTTTGAATGAGCACAGATTGGAGGGAATGGTTGTTAGATTGCAGTTGGGGTAGAGGTTGTTATTTTCTTTTATATTTTTAAGATTTAATTCTTACCCATTCATTATTAATAAGCACACTTTTAAATCCTGTTTATACTAGAAAACTGGAATACAAATTTACTGCATAGTGTTTACTATATTTTATTGTTTTTTATTGCACTCTATTTTGTTGATTGTTTTTCTGCTGTTTTTTTGTCAAACAATAATTGTTACTAAATACTTTAAAGCAGTATTCAAAGTGAGGCAGGCTAGAGTGACATGCCAGCTTGCCAACATTTTATAAAGTTAAAACTTTGCTGTAGTGGTGTGGTGGTAGAGCGCTCACCTCATAAGAAGGAAGTTCCAAGTTTGATCCCCACAATGTCCCTGGTAGTACGTCAACTTGTTTTTCTGGGCAGTGGCCTTGTTCATTAAGGTTCCTGTTTCTGAGTTATAGAGTTGAGAGAGGGTTGCAAGCAAAACCAAAGTAGCTTCCTTGACTGTAGTGGCCTTCACGGCCTTGGGGAGGTGTATTTTAAAAAAAAAAAAAAAAACAGTTAAATCCAGACTGATGCAGAATAAGATATTGTCTAGTTTGCAGCTCTCAAAAATGGAACTAAAACTTTTGGAATAGGCAGGACAGATTATTCAAAATCTATGAAAACGTTTGCAATGCACATGCAGTCATCATATTTTAGAATTATTCCTTGGATCATTTTTGAAAACTTTTTTTTAAATGATCCAAGAAAAAACATACAACAACTGATGTTATTACCATTATTAAAATCCCTTCAATAGAGAAACTTTCAATAAGTTCCTTGATATTGAAAAACCTTTCTTGAAAAAATTCAAATGAAAATCGTATTTACTTTTAAAAAGTACAACTAAATTAAAATATTTAAATAAATTAGTACAAATAAAAATATCATGCATAGAATAATTATAAGATGCTGCAGAATTATAAATTTTTTTGGCCTGCCCTAATAAATATATATAAATATATTCCCTAATATATATATGTATATATAAATATATGTTAAGGTAAAAACAAATTTTTGAAAATGTCTGCTCGCACTCCCTAAATTTGTTCTATATAATAAAATAATACTGGATTTAAATTTTTTTTTGAATAAAAAATATTTTTAGGGCTTGCTACAGACACTCAAACATTAAATGGGTACTTAATATAATCGAAAAAAAAAAGGTTTTTCAAAATTATGTCATATAATGAATATGCTAAATTGACTAACTTTATACAAAATATATACAAAATTTAAAAAAATTATGATAATCTAAAATTTTTTTCCCTAAGATTATTATTATTATTTAGTAAGAATTTTATATATTATAGATAAGCTAAACATTATTTATAGTAAGCAAAGTAAATTGATTTATAATAAAGCAAAGTAAATTGATTTATAGTAAGCAAGGTAAATTGGTTTATTGCATTGTAAGAGATGAATTACTTAATTTCAAATTACAATCAATATAATAAATTGCTATGGGGTAGTGATGCAGTGGTAGTGATGAAGTGGTAGATGAAGTTCGATTTGTAAGTGAGTTTCTCAAAACTTCTAACATTTCTTATGTTTCTCCATGGCCCTATTCATCATTCATGATCTATTCATCAAGTTTTAAGTTTCTGAGTTATAGAGTTGACAAAGAAATGTGTTTAAAAAAAAAAGATAGTAGCTTTGACTCCCCTCAGCCTTAAGAAGCAAAAGTACCTTTGGTAGGTGTGAATGCGGTATATAGAAGAGTGAGGCTTTGGGAAGGGAATGTATGAAAATAAAATATATCATGCAAATATTAAAACAAATTATAAACCAATTATTAAAATTTTACACGAAATATGAAGTCATAATGCAACATAAAGCCCTGATGTTAATCTCCCATTCATCTAATATCTTCCATTAACCTACCATCCATTTATAACTTACTATAACATCTATAACATAACATCCAGCTACCACTTAACATCAATCTATCATCATCTGCCATTAAACTAAAAAATTAAGTGCTGGAAGAAAATATTAATTTCCTCTATTATAAAAAAATATAATATCAACAACACTGTTAAAATTTCCGTACTTTTACGGAATTATTTTCTGTTATTCGTACGGAAAGTACCCCATTTAACAAAATTGAACAAATATATTCCTTATTTTAGAATAAATTTTAAAATACAGAAATTTTTGTTGGAAAAAGGTTTTATTATGAAAGCCAAAGTAACATTTTAGCATACAAACTTGTCACATTAAAAAGCACTTTTAGATTTTTTAGCTAGCGTGTTTTTTAAAAATAACAATATCTAGCATATTTGTGACTTTTTTAACTGAAAAAAGCTAAAGAAATAAAAAATTTTAAAATGCATAGTTTTTTTTTATAGTTCTCTTTTATTTTATCCTATAAAATGAATACCATAATTTTTCCATAAAAAACGCGCTATTTTTTTAACAGTGAAAATTTACATTCTGTCTAGATAATTGTGTTATACAAGGAAAACAAGAGATGTACAAACAACTGAAAACAATTTGTTCTGAAAAAATATTTTGACTTGTTATAAAAAAATATGATTTTGACTTAAAACATACCGACAATTAAAAGATTGAGAGTATCTCTTTCTTTAAACACTTCATCTAGCGCCATTTTACCTAAAAAAGTAAAAAAATACAAAGTAATAAAAAAAAAGCAACTAAAAAGATGAACAATGATAAATTGAAATTTACTTTTACTGACAACTCTACCAAATCATATCTACCAATTTCAGATCTCATTGTTGTTTGAGCTAGTTGGGTTATAGCAAACTGAGGGTCTTCAACTCCATAAGATGCCTATAAAAAATCTTTTCATATATATATATACATATATATATCAACCCTCAAAATTAGGAAAAATGAGGTCTGCAATAATTTACTGACCTCAATCTTTTTGAGGTTGGCATTAGGTTGGCAAAAATTATTTGATACAAAGGTCTAACCATAAAGCATAGAAACAAGATCAACAATTTTTTGCCGACCTCAAATACTTTCAGGTCGGCAATTAGGTCGGCATTGCCAAATGCGGACCCTAATTCTGAGGGTTGATATATATATATATATATATATATATATATATATATATATATATATATATATATATATATATATATATATATATATATATATATATATATATATATATATATAATATATATTATATATATATATATATATATATATATATATATATATATATATATATATATATATATATATATATATGATATTTCTATTGTGATCAGCGCCATTAGGTATAATGAATAAAAATTGTTAAAAAGAAAACCATTATAATAAAAACAATCCATTAAAAAAACAACATTAAAAAGTGTAGAAAAAAGTACAAAAACTTTTCAAATGCTGACAATAACAAACTTATAAAATGACAAGTATTGGTTATAACCATTATCTTAAGTAACTCTCTAACTTTGCAATTTAACTCTCCGGGGCAACAGACAAGGTCTTAAGATTCAACCAGTCAAAAGTTCCATGGCATGTTCCAAAATGTTCTGTGGCATCCAAACTGGCCTATTTTTCTTTAATACTATTTTTCTGGGACTCAACATAGCTTAATATAACTTTCTTACTTAATCTCACCAATGTATATACAACTAAGGTGCTTGGATTTGTGCTTGAAGGTAATTTTGTTTTATTATTTCAAAAAATATTACTTAAATTGAACATAACCTTTAGCTTTAAAATTGATTTTAATGTTTAATATATCAAGAACAACTGGAATCGCTTGTTCAATGGGTATAGACAGGTATAGAGTAACTATATCAAATGAAACAAGAACTTCATTAGGATCTTTTTCCATTGCCTAGCTTCATTAACAAAACTGTTTAAACTAACAAGCCTTTTTTTGTTTTTATTTAGTGTTGGTTAAGTATTTCAACAGGATGCTAATGGGTAATCTTTTTTGAATTTGAGCCTCATTCCAATATCTGATGAATACATTTTAAAGTATGTAGCGGTGTGTAGGTTACCTTATTTTCTCAGTTTGCATAATTGTTTTTGAGATTTGATTAACTCATTTTTTTGATCGAGTAAATCAAATCAAGTATTGAGTTTTAAAATGTTCTTTTGCATTTTTTGTTATAAATAATAAAATATAAACTTTTGCATTAAGTTAAAGTAAAACAGGGGTAGAATGAAATAAAGAATATAATGAAATAGCTATGATAAAATTAATTATTTATTGAGTAAAACTTTTGCAAATTTTATTTGACTATATTGTGCAAATATTTTTCTGAATAAGATGATGTAAAATTTTAATAATAATAAAAAAATAACAAATGAAATATTTAAAAGTTTATGTTATTTTTTTTACAAGATTTTTTTTTTAATTAAATTTTCATATACTCTCACAAGTTAACAAATATCTGTTAAAATACCTGATAAGGATCAACAACACGAAAAAACAAAACACCATCCAGATTTAAAGAAACATTGTCTAATAAAAATGCATTGAATATTAAAGTAAAATTTGAAAATTTCATTAAAAAAAATTAATTGAAATATTTAAAAAGTAATTAAATCAAATTGTTAATAAAAATTAGTTTATTTATAAATCATCTAATTTAATAAAAAAAGTATACTTATTTTCAATATATTCTTAAAAACTGATAAAATGGCTAGGATTACCTTTAGTAATTGCGGATTGTTGAGGAACTTCACTTGCAATCTCTTTCAGTGATTGCACATACTTGATTTCATCTATTATTGGCAATAAAAAGTTCAAACCCTAAATGTAAAGTAAAAAAAACTGCGGTAGTGGTGTAATGGTAGAGCGCTCGCTTCACAAGCAAGAGGTTCCGAGTTTGATTCCCACCACGACCCGGACAGTACAGCGCTCAACTTGTTTCTCTGCGCAGTGGCCTTGTTCGTCAAGGTTCGTGTTTCAGAGTTATAGAGTTGAGAGAGGGTTATAACTACAAGTAGCCTCCTCATCTGTAGTGGCCTTCTCGACCTTGAGGAGGTGAATTACAAAAAAAACAAAAAAAAAAACAAAGTATAAAGGACAATAACTTGAAAAGCTTTTTAAATATGAATAAGAAATAAAAAAGTATTAAAGCAACTTTCACTTTCAGTTTTTATTGAAAACAACAACAAATAAAACACTAACTGGTAATAGAGTGTTGTAATATTTTCCAAATCTTTCAATTATCCAAGCTTCTTGTTGAGGGACAAATTTAACGATCTAAACAAACATTATAAATACAGTTTTTGCTTATTAACATAGTCATAAGAATACATAGTCTGGAAACACGGACCATTTCCATTGTTTTTTGATTTTTACTTGAAAACTACGCGATGACCAATCAAACCTGCACAATTTTATAAAATATTTCAACCTTTTAATGTAAATATTGATTTGGAATGTTTGATTGATATGGTTAAAGAAGTTTTTAAAACAAAGACATACACTTAGCTACATATATAGATTTCTTTGCTTCTAAAGTAAATAATTATGCAAACAACATGCATATAATTAGCATTTGAATTAAACAACTTGTTGACTTTATATTCTTGTTACTTTATATACTTTGTTTTTGTTTTCTTATTTACAAGACTTTGCATCAATTCCAAGAAAATTTTGGCAAATGTTCTTTAAAAACTTATAGGAAAAATATTACTGCTAAAAGTGTAAAGAATAAATAAAGATATTGCAAGTTTATTAAAAATAGAAATATATCTGCTATTTGATATAAGAAAGCAGTTCTTAAAAAAAATTATGTGCAAGAAATTTAATTTATTAATAAATGTTGTTAAACATCTATAGAAAAAAGTAAATTTAATAAATTAGAAAAATTTAAATTCAGTACTGATTTATTTTATTATGAGTATTATGAACTGGTGAAAATTTACTAGCTTCACACATCAGCAATATAACTTTAAGTAATACATTACTTACTGAAATGTCTTCTGTTATATTAAAAAACCTTTCGATATAAAACAAGACATAAGCGAATCTGTAAATAGAACTCAATAAATAACTAATATATAGAGAAAAAGTTTACAATATCTTTATGAATATGTTTTTCAAAAATTGCCAGCAGCAGCCTAATGGAAGATGATACTCAGAATTTTGTTAATATATAAGTAGTATTGTGGAATACAAATAATGTTAAAAAACTATAATGTACTTTTTCTTTACAAACAAGTTTACAATGATCCAGAATCAGGTGAAGTTAGTGAAAATTTGCAAAAACCCGAACTTACGTTGTTTGTAAAAGTTTGTTATTTTTTTAATGCAAAGACATTACTAAAAAACATAAAATGAGAAAGAAATCTTGGTAGACCTGTAAAATCTGAAATTATCAAAACAAATGAAAAAAAAAGTTTGTTGAACGTAAAAGGCTATTTTCATAGTCACAACTTTTTAAAACATTAATGGTATACGAACTACTTAAACTTTAAAAATTTATGATAAAGTTTATTTACTAAGGTAGATAAAATTTGTTAATAAAGGTCCTTTTATAATATGTTACAGTTAGAGCAATACAATGCAGAGTTATGATCGGTTAAATATTTGTATTCATAGTTTGTAATAATATGATACAGCATGCTTCTGCATACTGTTTCTTTTGTATTATTTATATTTTACTTGAATAAAAATTTCTGAAATCTCTACCAAATCTGGTTTTTTTGAGATGCCAAAAAAATTTTTAATAATAAATAAGATTCAGCAATTAATCAAGGTGAGTACTACTACATTGACTAAGATTTTGGGTAGGGCAAAAACTGATTTTTTCCAAGAAAACCAAAAAGATGAAAAAAGTCAGTAATAAAAGTATGTATGTATATAAGAAATTATATCTAAAATGTTATCTGAACCTAAATTATTTTTTTCAAAATATAAAGAATTTTTTTTTCGCTTCTTTGATTAGTTTAGTTATAATAGTTCAGTGAAATGACCCTGAATCCATAATTAAGTTAAATTTTGTTAAATAAAGATCAATGATAGTTACGAGAGAGATATCCTATGACTAAATAGCAATGATGCTTTACGCTTTCTTTTAATAATATATTTTTAGGAAGCCAAAAATAAATTTAGGGTAAAATTAGGTAGAAAAGTATATATAAGTGGGTTACCCAAAAGCATAAAAAGGAAGGGAGTGTCTGTTTCTATACAAACACTCAACTACATTGTAAAAAACTGATACCTTATTTTTTCTGAGTACTGACAAGTATAAAGAACAATAGTTGCCTATTATATCTGCATGTAATTAGCAATATTGAATAATGAATATATAGAAGACAAGATAAAAGAAAATAAACTTAAGAAAGAAAAGAAAATTCCACCATAATTAAATTAAAATTGAAAATTTTTATTTTGTTTTTGTTTTGAAATTTTGAAACGGATTGGGGGTATTTTTTAAAAAAAAAAACGCACAAATTTTTATAAAATTTCAAATATAAATTAAGAAAATAAATATAGACTATGTAAATAAATAACAAATAATGTTTTAAAAATTTTGTAGTTATAGAAATAACTATTTTTCTTTTTCTTATTTACTTAAAAACAAATTTGAAAATTTAAGAGCTTAATGTTGGTCTTTAATGTAAATTGATAACTTTTATTTTTATTATGATAAATTGTTATTGTTGTCATTACATTGAACATTACCACTAATTCAAAAAACTGAAAACTGTGGCTTGATTACATTGATATAGTAGTTTAAATCTCTGATATAATATCTTTTCTGCAAATCTTTCAGGAATAACTAATTGAACATTAGTTCGAAGTAAAACTTAAACAACTTCTTTAAATGAATTTGAAAATCTTTGTAAATTTGTAAAGAAATAAACATTGTTAATTTCAAGCTCTCCTCAAAACTTCTTTCTTGTTGATTTCTAGATACTTTTTACAATTTATCATTTTAGTAATTCAATCAACCAAAAAAATTACCTACTGATTTATAAATTTTTAAAAATAATTTTTTTTTGGTTATATTTTCAACGCTGTTTTTTACATTTAAACAATCGAAAAGCATATCCAACATAAAGCAAATTTCTGTATACTTCTGGTAATAGTTTAATAAGATGATTCTGGTGGCATAATAAACAAAGTTCTGTGGATCCAACTCTTTCTGGTAAAAAAAAAAATTATGCTCATTTTGTCTTCTTAAAGCTCAAAAACCATATATTGCTCAATTTTTACCAGACATATTAAGAAAAAGCAATTTCAATGAAAACACAAAACAACTTGGTAAAATAACAGGCAAATGCTAACAACAACAATCTTTCTGTGCAGGTTTGGATGTCCGGAAACGAGAAAAAACAATTTGAAAGATTTAAACAATGAGCCTTTGTTCGCTTCCAAACTATATCTTTCTTATAACTATGTTATTAATAAATCAATTTACAAATAAGAATTTTAAATGAATTAATTTATAAATAAAAATTAATAATTACTTGACCTTAAATTTAAAAAACTATCAATATTTAAAACTAAACTATCAATATTGTCATTATTAACTACTCACTGTATTATGAGGTAATGATCTTCTTAACCCAATTCCAGAAGAATAAGCACACAGAGTTAATTTGTAAACTTGTTTGCACTAAATGTATAAATATATTTGTGTTCAATTTAAAGTAATCCCAGCGGGCATTTGTTTTTAAAAGTTACGTTCTAAATGTCTTTTAAATCTCTTTTAAACGTTTTCTAAACATTCTTATGTAAAGAACGTTTAAAAGACATTTAAAACACATTTAAAAGACATTTAGAATGTAACTTTGAAAATAAATGCTCGTAGGGATGTTTCAATACAAAAATGTGTTTTTAAGGCCTCTCACCAAGCCTCACGTTAACAATATCAACACCACTTTTTTATGCACTTTTGTATGTATAAAGGTTTATTTTTTAATAAAACAATTAAAGATCTCTAACGGTTTCTTGTTGTTTCTGGAACATAAATAGTAAATAATTCTTAAAGATTTTTAAAATATATTTTAAACATAAAAACAATTTTTAATATTACTAATTTTATTTTAACATTAATAAGCCTTTTTTATACATTATAAAAATTCTTTTTCTTTTTTTTTTTAAACATTCTAAATACCTTCAGCTTTTATTACTACAACATGTTACCACTTGGGTATATCAACTTGATATACCCAAGTAGTAACATGTTTCTCTAAAATACAAAGTAGCTGATTCTCCAATTAGCTACTTTGTATTTTAGAGCTATAAAGATAGTAACAAGTAAAGTTAATTAGGTAATTATTAGCAAAACCTTATAAGAAAACTGCTTTAATTTATACTCATATAATTCAAAATGATTATGTAAATCAAACAGATTCTTTGACCCATTGGATGTTCGTTTTATCATGCAATTTTATATCACTTATTAAGTAGGAGTGTTTTTAGTTTTCAAATATTTTATTATAGTAAACTCACATAATTTAAAATGATTATGTAAATCAAACAGATTCTTTGACCCCCTGGATCTTCTTTTCATCATGTAATTTAATATCACTTATTAAGTAGGAGTGTTTTTAGTTTTCAAATATTTTACTGTAGTAAACTCTAATTAGATATATTTGAGTGTTTTAAATTTTTAAGCTTCTTGAATTTAGACAAGACGAGATTACTTTAAAATTACAGTACAACATTTTTAAAATAAGCTAGCACTCTATATCTTGATATCTGAAAAAGAAAAAAGAATTAGATTTTGAAAATTTGTAATTAAACATAAATATGTCAAAACAGGAATGTAAGACAAATGGAATGGAGAATTATTGAAGTGCTTTATATCAATGTTTGTAACAAGAATCCAATTAAAGGTCTTCTTTTAGAAAAAGATCTTGATTTTGCAAATGCATTCAATTACAAAGATTATTCAGCATTATATGGATGGTTGAAAAACTAGAAAAAAATGTAAGAAATATTTTGCTTGAGTTTTTGTATTCAAATCAAAATAATATTAGATAGACTATAGAATTTATTATTATTTTTTTAATGGTATTACCTTTCAAAAAGGTATTATATTCTACATATATACAAGCTTGAAATATTGCAATTAGAACCAATAATTATGAAAAATAAACCTTTAAATATATTAAATTTACTTTCTCTCTGCCTCTTATATATATATATATATATATATATATATATATATATATATATATATATATATATATATATATATATATATATATATATATATATATATATATATATATATATATATATAAAGAGAAAGTAAAGTTATATATAAAAAGAGAAAGTAAAGTTTGTGTATTGCTCTCTTTTTAAAGTTTTCAAAGATTTTTTTATTGTTTTGTTATTGAGTTCTATTTATGTGTCTATTTTTTACAGTTAAACATGATTAAATCAATATTTTTACATATAATTTGACTTCTATAACGGTTTACTAGAATCACGTGTTTTTTTCAATATGGGAAAGGCAAAAGATGTTTCACCCTCAAAAAAAAGAGAAGTTGGAGCATTATTGAAGAATACTTCTAATTCTCAAAGGTGTATAGCATCAATGACAAAGGTTTCAGTGGCAACAGTCAACCAAATAAAAAATAATCTGGACAAAAATGCTGATTATACTCCTCAACGAACAGGACATTGTGGTAGAAAACGGCTAACAACGCCAAGAAACGATAGAAAAATACGAGATATTTGCCTAGAAAATAGGAATAAGCCTAGTCGAATACTAACCACTTTAATACAAGATGCTGGAATACCAGTATCTCCAATGACAGTTTGTCACCGACTCAAAGAACAAGGATTTCGATGCTGTCGACCTGCTAAAAAGCCTAAGCTCACTCTAGCAATGCAACAAAAATGCCTTGCTTGGGCTAGCTTTTGATGTTGTTTAGGTATGTTTCTCGGATGAATCGACAATCCAGATATTGATGAACAAATCACAGTTTGTGCGTAGATGAGCTGGAGAAAAATTCCACAAAGACTGCATCTTAGAACATGTAAAGCATCCTCTAAGTATAATGGTATGGTCTGTCATTAGTGGACATGGAACAGGGCGCTTATATATCATTGAGGGAAATATGCGCCAGGACCAATACATTAAAGTTCTTGACACAAGATTGGTACCACAGTTGAAGGAATGGTTCCCAAAGAACCAAAAATTTACAGTTATGTATGATTCTGTCCCATGCCATAAAGCAAAGAAGGTTACAGAGTACCTAAAAGCAAAGAAAATTCCAGTGCTACCATGGCCTGGAAACTCGCCAGTTTTAAACCCTATTGAAAATCTGTGGGAGATCATGAAAAGGGAAATTGCTTCTGAAATGATCACCAACAAAATACAATTAATTGAAAAGATGATCTGGCACAATAACATAGATATTCAAAATAATGCAACAAAGTCTGGCACAATAACATAGATATTGCAAACAAGTCTGGCACAATAACATAGATATTCAAAATAATGCAATAAAATGCATTTAAAGTATGCCAAGACGTGTAGAAGCGGTAATAAGTGCCAAGGGAGGGATAACAAAATACTAAAATAAATCACCAATATGTAATCTTTTGCTTGTACAATAGTGGAATTATTAAAAAAAAAAAAAAATAAGTATGTCTTTTATAATAAATATAGACCGCAACACTCAAAAGTTACGAAAAATTAGTCTGCAACCTTTTTATTTCTATAATAAATAACATTTAACACATAATTTTCAAAAAAAAGACAGTGTTTCTAATAATATGAGCACCCACTGTATATATATATATATATATATATATATATATATATATATATATATATATATATATATATATATATATATATATATATATATATATATATATATATATATATATATATATATATATATATATATATATACATATAAATATATATATATACATATATATACATACATACATACATACATAAATACATCCATCCATACATACATACATACATACATATATATATATACATACATACATACATACATCCATCCATCCATCCATCCATCCATACATACATACATCCATCCATCCATACATACATACATATATACATACATACATACATACATACATACATACATACATACATACATACATACATACATACATACATACATACATACATACATATATACGTACATACATACATACATACATACATACATACAAAAATAAGATTTGAACTACTTGATAACATGTTAAAAAAAGTATAAAGTTATATGCTCTGCTAGTATGTTCAAAGTCATAAGCAATTATTATCATAAGTAATCATTATTAATTATACTTAACTGATCTAATTACTCTGATAAGCTTTGATGAATATTGACAAAAAGCAAATGTCAATTCACTTTATAAAAAAGGATATAAAATGGAGACAAAAAATTATGGCTCAGTTCAATACTCCTTATCAATTTTTTTTTCAACAAACTCAGTTCCAAAGACTTAAATTGCAAAAAAAAAAAAAAAAAAAATTATGTCAATAAAAATTATCAATTTAATAAATAAATTTGTAAAACATACTTACTTTAAGAAGAGAAGTTGAAGATTGTTGAATAGTATTTAAATACATAATAAAGCCTTTTTAGTAACTATCTTTTTAGTTTATATTTCTATACATAAAATTTCCTATAAAAAATATTATATATATATATAAATATATATATATATATATATATATATATATATATATATATATATATATATATATATATATATATATATATATATATATATATATATATATATATATATATTGATTGTATTCACTTTTTCCAGGCTAGGGGGTCTACAGATTACTGTTGAGAGTTAGCTACTCTTAAGTAATTTCAAAGAATTTGTTGGTTCTACAATATAAAACCAACAAATTGCTTGAAAATAATGTAGACTACATTGTTTTTTTTATCATTAACAAAAAATTATAAATTATTTTAGAGACAACATAGTCTTTAATCAAATAATCTTCTGTTGTCTGTCTTGTGACTTTCAAAATCTAGATTGATTTCTTGGGCAACTTTTAATAAAAGTGTTCTTACAAGTTTTATAAACAGATTGTTATGATTAGTATTATAGAGGTTGTAACAGTTGTCTAAACTTATCTATTGTTATAGGTTACAAGAATCCAAAACATTCAGCAGAATATTTCCTTTTTTTTTATAGCAATTTTCTTTATAGTCCAGCAAGAAAAGTTATTAATTATTTCATTAATTTCTTTAAAAAATGCCTTTTTACTTTTTATTTTGTGGTGTCTTTTATCAAAAATTTACGCAAAATACGTTATCTGGAAAAAAAATCAAAATTACTGAGCAAAAATTTTCATAAGTTTTTAAATTTTTATTCATGAAAAACAAGTTTAATTAGACAAATTTACCCTTTTAGGTTTTACCCTAAGTTAGGGTAAAACCACCAAGTCAACTACTGTTAAATCCATAGCCGTCTATATTAACAATATAGTAGTCGTCTGTATTAACAATTTGTACAGTCGCGCAGTGGACATATGACGATAATGGAAAAAGGCGTTTTGAAACATTTTTAGGTGGAAATATAAAAGAGTCTCTGGTCTATCATCTTATCCACGTGCTTTTATTGCGCGAGTTATTAGTACTACTTTGTTTTTATTGTGTTAAAGCTAAAGTTTGTTAAAAGTTCAAAATTTTTTCCAGGGGTTCTTCAAATTTAGGTTTGCAACTATCTTTTGCTAATGTAAAAATAGTTTTAAAGTGCTTAAAATATATATTATTAGGTCTTTTAAAAAAGTGCATTTAAAATATATTATTTTTATTTAACTTTTTTCATGCAATTCGCTTTTTGTTTATGTCCTTACTTAGATACAGTTTCAATTTTTATATAAAATTACTGATACTTACAGATTGTAAAATTTTTATTTTTATTTTTTTTTTTTTTTGCATTTTTTGAGTGTATTAGTGTAAATGTGTCAATTACATCAGTAATAACCAGTTAAACGAAACCAGGTCATGAACCATGCGTTCATGACCTGGTGACTAGACGCTAGATAATTGGTAGCGTATAAGTCGATACCGAGCAGGATGTTCTGGTATCGCGTGGTATCGCTTCTATATTAATGTCAATACTATCAGTAACTGTTCGATACCACACGATACCGAGAAGGATGGTATCGTATTGTGTGGTATAGCTTATGTACCAATGTCAATATTATCAGTAATGCTTCGATACCAAACGATATCGAATATAATAAAAAGAATTGTATTGTATCGCATGGTCTCGAATCGAGACTCTCAATAAAATAAAACAAACAAAATTAAAATGTGACTTATTGAATTCTTTTATTTACAAAATATAAGTACAATTGAATTTTAGGGATTGAGTTGCTGTTTTTTTAACAAGCTACAATAATTTGGCTATCGTCCATTTGTTTTGTTTTTTTCTTTGCTGTAATATCATTGGTGTTTTAGAATTTCCTTCTATTAATATTGGCAAAGATAAGTCTAATTCATGTCCTATATCACTTTCATTTCCTGCTTTGATGGGTTATTTTTTAAAGTAGTTTTTAAGAACAGAATAGTTCTGCATTATAAATACAAACTTATCTGCCTTGTCACTATTGAGATTGCATCTACGATCGGTGATGACGAGGCCAGGAGCGGAAAATGCTCTTCAGATGATGCGGAGTTTAGTGCAGTTACCAGCCAGGATCTTGCAACACCTGAAAGGATAGCAAGTTCAGTTGCATACTGCTTCCACTATGCTAAGGTCTCAGTTTTACCTGCATTTTTGCATCTTATTTTTTTGGTATTTTTTTGTTTCTAGTTTAATGTTTATGTGTACATGATGTGAGATAGTATTTTCCTTATACTTTACTAAAATAACATTATATTCATTTTCTTCCTAACCTTGTGCATTATCAGTAACGGAATCGTTACTAGCGTTATTACTACTGGAGCTTAAACCAGACAATAAAGATTTCTCCAAGTATTCATTGGTTGTGGAATGGTTTTCAACCAGTTTTTAAATATTTTCATTGTCAACATTAAGAAAATGTCCACGGAAGAATGAATGGAGGTAATGTCCAAGTGCAAATGCGGGTAATTTAAGGCCTTTGTCTGGCAATCTCTTATTTAGTTCTGATAATATGTCCTCCACGAATTTTTCTACCAATTTGTTGTTTCCATGAGTAAGATGATTATTTTTTTCTTTCTAGATGAACTTGATGATTGCTGTTACTTTCATAGTGACAGGTCAATTCGGATCTCTTTGTCAAAAGATAAAAAAATTGATAATTCTTTAACAGATTTTAGCATTTGAACAATTGCTTCAAAGAGTAAGAATGTTCATCCGTAGATACAGTTTTCTTCCAACCATCACCTTCTGTATCATCTAAGTATATGAGTGGAATTTTCAGTCAAAGCATGGCGTGCAGCATATCATAATGACTGTTCCATCTTGTGGTTACTGTGGAGAGTATTTTGAGGTAATTCACATCTAACCTGGAACAAGTATCTTTTAGAGAAGCGCTGAAGGCTGAAGATTTATTAAGCCTGGTTGTAAGTAAGTTGGCTTTATAAAAAGCATCTTTCAGCTCCTCTACTGTTTTTTGCAGGGCAGTGTTGAGTTTGTGATCAGAGCATGTATCGGAGTCTTCTTCTTTAGTTATTAAAGGCATACTATTGTTATATAACACATGCCATATTTGATGCCTGATTAATGACACACAGTTTATTAGGTATTTTTTTAATGATTCAGGTGTGAATGAGAGCGTGTTATCAAGTGCTTTTGCAATGTTGATACCTGTGTGAACAGACACACTTCTAATATAAATTTTTTAAGGGCAAAATCTGGCGAGATATAACAAAATGTCACGGACATGTATGAATCATTTGCCCTTGATGTCCAGTAGCCGGTGGTTATGGCAACCTGATTAAGATCTATAAGCTCTTTTTCCATAATTTCATGTGTTACTCCCTTTAGTGTATGGTAAAGCTGAGGGAGCTTATCTTTTATGAAAGTCGTTAAATGTTTTATTGTGGCATTTGGTAATATTTTCTTCATAATTCTTCTCTAAATTCTTAGAATCAGCAAAACTGAACGGCAAGCATTTAGCTTCATCTACTTGTGATCTATGCTCATCCTCTTTTTTTTGGAGTTGGATGAATAAATTACTATGTTCTGTTAAAATATGCTTTCGCAAGCCAGTTTTGCAAGCTTTTTGTTTGCTTTTTTGCAAGCTTACACAAATACTTTTAAAAATCAAATCCTTCAGAAAGACTTGAGCCTAGAGTTCTGGATTCCTAAGCCATAATTTTATCCGCTGGCCACGCAAACTTCTACGTTAGCGAGTCAAGTTATTATATATAAAAACAATCCTGCCGGTAATTAATCCAGGATTATTTCCCGGCACTGCTGGCAATTAATTGCCAGCAAAGCCGGGAAATAACGTAGAAGTTTGCGTGGCCAGCGGATAAAATTATGGCTTAGGAATCCAGAACTCTAGGCTCAAGTCTTTCTGAAGGATTTGATTTTTATTAAAGTAACAATACCAGATGAGAAATCAAAATATGGATGTGATACGACAAAATTAATCAAAATTAAAATAGCTGTACTGACTGTTACGAAATCAATTGCCTTTGAACAATCATTTCTAATACTCGTTTAGAATAATCATTAAGGGTTGCTTCACAAGCGATTTCCTTTGGAAAATTATATGAAAAACTCTCTTTAAATGATTGCAAAACTATTCACTTAAAAAATTAATTCTCCACAGAGAATTCTTTAGTCCTAACACAGTTTTTAACAACTTCAGAATCTTTAACCGGACATTTTCTGAGAATTTTTAACCGGACATTTTCTGAGAATCTTTAACCGGACATTTTCTGAGAATCTTTAACCGGACATTTTCCGAGAAACATTTGTCAAAATTATGCTTTGATCATCCCTATTTTTAATGTTTATTTTTATCAAATTTAAAACCGTAATTCTAAAAAGAAAATCTTTCCTTTTTACGCGTTTCATTATTTCTTGCTTATTAAGCAAACAGTAAAAAGAAATTTTTTAGTTTGAAGCTCTACCACCAAGACTCTTTAATGTTTACTTTGGTCTTGAAAGAAGTATTCAATAGCGGGAAATTGTTTTTTCCCTTTTAGAAATGAGTGGCTAGAGATCAGTGGAGGAAACGCGATTGTGTGAAGCAGTATCAATCTAGGCTGTCGCATCCAACTTTCTACATTAATTGGAAAGTGTCATCTATTTGTCATACCTGCTTCACTGGTTTATCACTTGGAGGCTCTGTACATTTTCTGTAGTCGTCACAGTATAAACTTAGATGTTGTGCACGCAGTTGAATTGGCCATTGAGATCAAAATATTCTTTACTTAGGCGAAAGGAAATTCTACTTTTTATTACAATATGAAGCTCTCGCATCAATGCCATCACTCGGCCTCTCGGAAAACCACTTCCCGAGAGGGCTAGAAAGAAGTGTTGACAGCTCTTATCGTGCCATATAAAACCTGAATTTGATCAGTCAAGCGAGAGCCTTAGAAAAATGGTTCTCATCTTTTGAGTTTGTATTGTTAATAACGATTTATTACAAAACTCTTACTGCTGTTAACAACCTTAGTTATTTACTATATTCTGCCCATTTATATGACAGCGAAAAAAAATGAATTCAAGGCGAACATTTTTGATGTTAGTTAAAGATTTTAGGCGAGTAAGATGTTTGGCTATGTTTCTATTCATCTGCAGGGCCGTCCCGAAGGAGGGGGGGGTGTTGGGGATGTCCCCTTCACCCCAAAGTTGTCATATAAGCATTTGAGTTGGCACATTGAGCAATGTGCCAACTGAAATGCTTTATGAGTTGGCATTTTGCCAACTATATTTATTAAAATAGTGGACATTTTGCCAACTATATTCATATTAAAGTTATAGTAGGCAAATTTAAATATAAATACAGTTTGCTATATTTATAGTTGGCAAATTACAAGTATTGAGGACCTTTTTTTTTTTTTTTTTGTTGGCAAAAAAATGCTTACACTTTCTCATGGAAGACCTCTTCGGGACGGCCCTGTTCATCTGACTGGGTAATGATGACCTTTACATTTAAATTTTGCTTGGTTTTTTCCGACAGATTTGAATGAAGAGGATTTCATTGAATTAAATAGCCACTTTAGGCCAGAGCTGCATAACTAAATGTTTGAGTTGAAGCTTGAACGCATTTTTCTATACACTCGCATTTTCAATTCGTCTTTTTTTTTTTCAAACGCATTATACTGTATTTGTCCATTTGTTCTCTAAAAAATTTTATTTATTAAGTTTTTTTCTCGCATATTAATGCACTGGGAATCTCTTATCTTTATGTTTTCCTAACTCATACAGTGTATAATTGATTTTGCTTTGTTCACAAATTCATTAAAGTTGTCTCACACTTTGCCTAACATTCTGTTTAACGATGAAAGCATCTAAAAGAAAGTTTTAACATCAATTTGTTCTGACTAAAGAGCTTCGCTTGTTGATCAAAAACTTTTAAAATATTTAAAATATTGCTTCAATACGAGTATAAAGACAAATTCAAAAATTGTTCCGAGTTAACAACACTAAAAACTATTATAGAAATCAGTTATTAAAGATTCAAGAGGTTATCCTCTTGAATCTTTAATAACTCTTAACTAAAAAAAAAAGTCTCATGTAAACATTTTTCAAAATTAAGTGTCGTATACGCATGCGCTAAGCGTGTTTCAATCTAGCGGCGTTAGTTCTCTCTACACTTTATTATGTATACATATTGTCGGTGGAAAAACTAATCTGGCGTATACACAATTTGTACAATTTTCCTGCTTCTTCCCTTCTACTTTTTAAATAACATTTAAAAAAGATTATAGCCCCTCGCACATATATATATGAATATAATTTATATGTTATGGAAATACAATCAAGTCATTGTTTGATAATGTTAAATGCAGTTAAATCTTTTCAATCTTGTCCACATGAAAGTTATTAATGTTTTACCTCAAAAAATAATATCTGCTCCCATGTCAAATAAACTTTTATAAAGTTAATATTGTATAACTTTGCATGAAAATACTGTTGTCAAAATGCTTTTGAGGAATGTTCAATTTTAACTTGTGAGCATTTTGTTTTATAGAATCGTAGTTTAAAATTCATCTCAAGTCTCTTTTTTATAAGTCATCTAAAATTTGGTATTAATTCAAAAATTGGGTAGCACTTTTTATTTAAATTTAAATGATGTTTTAAAAATGAATAGTTTTTCTTTAGAAATATATCCTGCTCTTTAATAAAGATATATAATGAGGAAAATTAGAAGTTTCTGGCCTCAACATAGTTTATCTGATAAATTGGCTTTTTCGTTTACTCATCTTGGTTTAATTGGAATAATATTGTTTGAATTTTTTATTGTTTTGCCTATTTATCATGAGCCATTCACAAAAATGTTCTGTATCCAAATAGCAATTGGATTGTATCTTGCTTTTCAAGTGTTTTCAAATTTATATGCAATGATTATTTTTAACTCATCAATTAAATCTCAAACAAATCTTCCATCAGTTTTGTATCCAGATTGGGTGTATTGCAATTTTTGCCAGTTAAATACACCACCACGCGCTCACCACTGTCCCGTTTGTAATGTATGTGTTTTAAAAAGAGATCATCATTGTGTTTTTACTGGAAATTGTGTTGGTTTTTATAATCATCGGTATTTCATTATGATGGTTTTTCATTTGTGGCTTGGTTGTTTTTACTGTTTATTGTATAATATTGAGTACTATATTGTTATGCTTGGAAATATTGGCTTTGGGATGTTGCTTAAGTTATTGTTTCCACTACTGGCATGGACATTTGGCTTTCTTAATAGTTATCAACTTTTTATTGCTTTTATAATGGGTATAAATTGTATGGCTATGTTGCTTTTTTCAGCTTTAGTTTGTTTTCAAATTTTTTTTATTAGCAGTGGTCAAACGCAATTTGAATGCCGTAAAAAAATTAATTATTATTCTCTCAGTCTGCTTGAAAATTGGCGTGTTGTTTTAGGGAATAGATGGTTTTTAACTTGGATTTGCCCCTATATTACTTCCAAATTGCCTGGAGATGGTACTGATTTTAAAAAATCGTCAATAGAAATGTCTCCAGTCTATAGCAATGTCAAATATTTATAATAATTTAAGAGCATTTTGTTACTATTGTGTTTTTGAATCTTCTTACTGTTTTAAACATAGTTTTTTTTTGTTATATATGGATGTGCAAATAAACTTTTTAAATTTAATTTAAAAAAGTACGATTTTAATATTTTGTAAAAGTATATATAGTTGAACTTCATTAACTTTTATTAAGTATGTAATTTCGTTATTTATATAAGTTTCTTTGCAAGATGTTTAAAGTGTGTTTCTTAGAAAAGTTTTAAAGATAATGTTTTGCAAAATTTCTACTTACATTTTTTATTTGTTTAAATAATTGGATAAAAGTTTATTTTTAACTTTTGCATGAATAAATTAAAAGATTATTTGAATAAAATTGTATTATAGATGTTTGAATATAAATAAATTTTTAAACATTTTTTACATTTAAAGATCTTCATCTTTTTTAAATTTTCCGTAGTGTAATATCATTTTTATTTCTCAGTTTTTTTTTGTTCAATTTAACTTAGTCAACTTTAAAATATTTGCATTTTTTATATTTATTAAAGAAAATATTTTTAAAGATAATTCATATGTTTGATAAATTTTTCTTTTTAAAGTTTCAATTTATTTTGGTTTACATTTAAATTCTTTAGGTTGAAATTTGAGATTTCTCTTGATAATTATTTTACTATTTTTTAAAATATTATTTTATCAATAATATTAGAGCAGGTTAAAATAATATTCATCAATAATGGCAGATGCTACTGCAAGATCATTGCAGTATGAATACAAGGCGGTAAGTTAATGCTATAGAAAATAATAGTTTTTAAGTAATATTATTCTTTTATACTAAACTTCATAAGAAACACAATTGCATTAGTCAGTTGTGCGTAGTTTTAAATGGCTGTTATAGATAAAAACAAATATTCTTTTTTTTTTTTTCAAAATCTTAAGTTTAAAATACTCAAATATATTCAACCCTCAGAATTAGGAAAAATAAGGTCGGCAATAATTTGCCAACCTCAATCTTTTAGAGGTTAGCAAAAAGAAATTCGATACAAAGGTCTTATATAGAAACATGGTCGCCAATTTTTGCCAACCTCAAACACTTTATGGTTGGCAGTTAGGTTGGCATCTCCGAATGCCAACCCTAATTCTGAGGGTTGTATATTATTATAAAAAAAATATAATATACAGATAAAAAATGTTGAACATTTTTGATCTGTATATTATATTTCCCAGATGAATTTTTCATGTAAAATTTCCAGATGACTTATCATAGGTGTACTAGCACTTCACACTAGCAAGAGTCTTTTCAGACATGGGTCTTTTCAGTTTTCTTTTACCAAGATAAATATTAAATAGAAATAAATATTTTTTTTTAAGTTGTTTTTGATCATCTTAGGCTTACCTAAGTAAAACTAATTATATAAATTATGTAATTTTAGCAATCAAATTGAGTTGTTTGTCAGTTTAACTGTGAAAGTATAATTAGGGTGGAATGATTATAAAGGTTTTAATGTTTTGGGGCCATTTTTGCTAACTTTTGTTTCACAAACAAAAAAATTTACTTTTATGTAATTATGGATTAGAATATTCAACAATATTTTTTGTTTGTTTATTTAGAAATCAATAATATTTATAATAATTCTAGTCCATGAAGAATAAAATGTTTAGAATAAAATATTTAGAATAAAAGTTTAGAAAAAATAGAATAAAATTTAAGTAAATTAAATTATTAAATTAAAAAGTTTAGAAAAAATAGAATAAAATATTTAGAATAAAGTATTTTGAATAAAATGGACACACAATGTGTCTATGCTTATATTGTTAGTGCATCGAATTGGCTTTTGAATGCGTTACTTGAAAGAAGTTAACAATGTTTGAAGGTAAAGCATTCCATGTGTTGGCTACCCGGTTTGTGAAGAACTTTTAATCTTTCAACACAGTTCTTGACTAATGGTTTAGTAAGTCTTAAGTTGTTGCCACAAAGGTTATACTGGGAAAGTACCAGTATAACAAGTGTGGCGGTTGGATGGCGAATTCGAGGTGTGGTCTAACATACGATTTGTAAAGAACTTTCCAAAGTATGAGTACTTTGGAAAGTTCTTTACAAATTCTTGTAAAGAACTTTCCAAAGTTCTTTACAAGAATCAAAAGAGATCTTGATGTTCTTGTTTCAGAAGACTTTTAAGTCTTCTGAAACAAGAACATCAAGATCTCTTTTGATTGATCCACCTGATCAGTCATTTTGTAGACAAAGACTGGTTTGTTGAAGCGACCTACATGCATGCATTAGTCCAAGTTGAAGCCACTTTTTAGACCATTTTACCGCTTTGTCAATGTCTAGCCGGAGACGTGCTCTGTTTTTTTTTAAAGATACCTAAAATTTTGCTGTAATTGGCATACACTTCGGCGTGATGAGCTTTTTTGTTAGTTAGTCATTTATATAGATGATGGCGTGCAATGCTTTTACCACTGATCCCTGAGGTCCTCCACTAGTTGCCTCTTTCCACTCAGATTCAGCTTTGATAGCAACAACCCTTTGTTTTCGGTAAGCCAGCCATTTTGATATTCACCTGAACAGTGAGCCATATAAACCATAAGCTCTTAGTTTATGCAGAAGTTTTTTGTGTGGTTTACACTGACGTTGTTGAAGGCTTTTGCAAAGTCAGGGTAGCAATAACAGTATCGAAAACAGCCAAACTGATTAATCTCATAAAGGGAATTTCCAGAATAACATCGAAATAAAAAATAACATCGAAGTTGTAAAAAAAGTAGTTGTATAGAAAATCCAAAAAATAGAATTATCTCGAAGTTGTTAAAAAAAAATATCGAAAAGGGACTTTTCATAATAATATCAAAAAAGAGAATATATCGAAATTGTTAAAAAAGGAATAGTATCAAAAATCCGAAAAGCAAAATAATCTCAAAACAGCTCAAAAGAAAAAAATATTGAAAAGGGACTTATCGAAATAATATTTAAATTGTGAAAAAAGGAATAATAAATAATATAATAAAAAATCGAAAATTCAAAAAACGAAATTGTGAAAAAAGGAACAATATTGAAATAGGAATTTTCGGAATTATATCGAAACAGTGAAAAAAGGAATAAAATCGAAATCATAATTTTGATGTTAATCATTAAAATGATTTTCGACCTTATTCCATTTTTATTGTTTTCGACATTAATCAGAAAATCACATTTTCGATGTTAATCATTAAATTGAGTTTTGGATCTTATTCCTTTTTTATTGTTTTCGATTTTGTTTTGTGAAATTTGATCTAAAAACTGTTCGATATTAATCAGAAAAACACATTTTCGATGTTAATCAGTTAAATAATTTTTCGATCTTATTCCGTTTTTATTGTTTTCGATATTGTTTCACATTTTTAAATTTCGATATTAAAACTTTTTGATATTATTCTGAAAATCAATTTTCGATCTTAATCATTAAAATGAGTTTTGGTCAGTTATTTTTCGATACTAATCATTTTTTCAATCAGTTAATTTTCGATACTATTCCGCTTTCCCCAAAGTCAGTGTATATCACATCTATGGCACAGTCATGATGTACTGCGTTTATCAGAATGTCATGAGCTTCTAATAGATTAGACACACAAACCCCGCTTAGGTAAAAAATGGTGTGGAGCTTTTGTGAATAGACCGTTGTTATAGCAGTGCTTCATGATTTGCTCATGAATGAAGCTCCATTATCTTGTATGATATTGATGTTAATGATATCAGTCTGTAGTCTGATGTGCTTCTTTCTGCTACAGGTCTTGAAGATTGGTTTTATAATTGACAGTTATAATTGGGTACTTTGCCTTCAGAGAGAGACTTGCAGTAGACCATTGCTAATGGTATGGAGATCACAACAGTGCAATTGCGAAGTACATGAGGGTGCATTCTGTCATACCCTTTAGATTTTGTTTTGATTAGTTTTTCAAGCTTTTGCTGTATAGCTGTATGTGTGATTGTAGCTTCTTTTAAATCGCACTTAGCTTGCGTTCGATTTCTGAAATTTGGCATTTGATGTAGAGGCTCAACAACAAATGCAGACTGAAAATAGTTAAGTAAATGTGAGATTATTTGCATACTTGTAGTTATTTTTCCTGCATCATTTTTGAGGGATTTCGCCATTTCATTTTCCATTTGCTTATGCTTAACTTAGTTATAAAGTCATGTTCCATGGTTCTTTTTTACTCTTGAAGTGAAAAATAGTTGTAGGTATGTGGATTTTGATTGCTTCATTAATTTTTTTAATCATTTGTAATTTATAGTTGTCGTTAGCTGAAAAAGAATTGAAGATACTTGTCCAATCGATGGCTTATATTTGTGCTGAGATGACATCATAGTTTGCCCTAATCCATATATACCTCTTTTCGTTGTTGTCTCTTGTTCGGTTGTTGTTTGTTACAAATGAACCAATAATAAAGCAAAGCAAAGTGAGTCGCTTTTATGTAGTTCAATAATTTGGTCTGGTTTGTCCAAAATAAGTAAGTCAAGTGTGCTTCTTGGCTCTTCTCTATTTCTTCTATAAGTATGGAACATTAACATTTGTGTAAGGAAGTTTATGTTTAGACATTGTTGGAATAATATATCACTTTGATGCTCATTTTGCATGTGGGCAACTGGCTGATACCTCGTCCAAATCAAGTTCTTTGTATGTTGAATGACTGAAGTTGAATTCATCATTGATTAACATGGATGAGCAATTAGTGAGATTAAAGCTTGAACTGTGTTGGAGTCAGATTGGTGATATTTAGGCTTAAGCTTTGCTTGCTGTGGCCAGCGTAGTGGCAGTGGTTGCAGCATTTTGATTGGTGTTATTACTGGTGGCAGTGACTGATTTGATCTTTGCTGATCCACATACACTTCTTGTTGTTACTAGATTGTTTGGCGTTGAGGCATTGCACAGGTTCAGTTTATCTGTGGATGATCCAGCAAAAGGGCTTATCCAATTTTGCCTTTACAAGCTCTTCATTCTTTTGCTTTTTCTCTTTGAATAGTTAGTATATTCCTTCTTGTTTGGCTAGAGTTCGGTCTTCGGTCTATGTAGACTTATGCGAATTGTTCTATGTTATGGTAGTTACCCTTTCTCAGTGCCTCACATTTGGTAATTGCAGATATAAGTACTACTTGGATGACCCCGGCTGGTTCTGTTGTGTTTTGATCACCTTTTTGAGAGCTGTTCTATCTCCTTTCTCTCTTTTTGTATTGGTGAACATGTACAATCATGTCTTTACTCATTTCGATGGCATCAAAGAACTTGTTGACGAGCTCTTCATCACTTATGTTTGTTGATTCCTTGAATCCTACAATGGCTAATGTTTGTTGATTCCTTGACCAATGTTTGTTGATTCCTTGAATCCTACAATGGCCACGTTTGAATCTTTCTTCTTTCTTGTCTTTACTTCGGCTGCTGCTAAGTTGGCGATTTAGTTCCTTTTTGTCATGTCAAGGTAGAATGGTTTTTTATTTGTTGTTCTTGAATTTGCTACTGGAGGTCTGTTTGCCAAAGCGTGGATTTTCTCATGTAAGTTTTTGATGTTGTTATCATGCTGTTGCTTTATTTCAATTATGGTTATTCTTAATGCAACTTTAATCATATCAGCTGTTTTGATACTGTAGATTTTGTAAAATGTGTCTGTTGTACTTGTTCCAAGTTTAATTGCTGCGTCAGTAGCATTATTTATGATTGTTTCCATGGATTTTTTTTTAATGTTTCTTGTCATCATTATGATCCAATGGTTTTCAAATTATTCAAAATGCAGGGTTGCCATGGAAATCATAAAAATGTCATTGAATTATATTTGGTCATGGAAAAAGTCATGGAATTCCTAAATTTTTATTGAAAGTCATGGAAAATTCATGGAACTATTCAAAATTATCTTTGTTTTTTTCTACTTGCGATATTTTAGAATGCAAGGAAAAGTACTAGTATGTCTAGTCTAAGTCCTTTTTGAAAAAAATATAAAATGTAAGTTATCAGAGAAATATGAGTTTTTTTTAAACACAATTTCAGAACTTTCTACCTATTAGTTTTTGGTTTGCATGTTTTATAATGACCAAGTTGCAAATGCTTAGTACATGGCAAGTAATGAATATTTCACTCTAGTGATTTATTTATAAAAGTTTATGAAGAGCCACCCTGAAATTTTCAATTTCATTTTCAAGTTTGAGTGGCCACCCTGAAATTGTACATTTATGAAATGGCTACCACTCAAAACAGTGGATTACCTCTTGGTTGAGAATTTTTGAACTTTTAACCTTATTAACACCAGTACTATGAGAAGTTTAGATGTGTTTTTTCAATGTATATGTATAGTTAACTAGTTAGCGTATAATATAGTTAACTAGTGTGCATATAAATTAATTTATATTATTTTGTCAGTTTGACATACAATATTCAAAAAAAGTAAAATTTTATCAGTTTGCAAAATAAAAGTAAGATTTAAAAACTATATTGACAATAATTATTTTAATTCTTGTGCTAGATTAATTTAAAAATTTTCTTATTAGAAAATTATTTAAATTGATTTTAATAAAACTTAAATCAGTTTAGATTTATTTTTTATCTTATTTATCATATAAAACTATTTAACTTTTTGTTTTAGTTGAGAAAAATTAATTATAAAAATGCTTTATATAGTAAAATTATTTTTAGTCTTTACATAATAAAATTATTTAGTACATGATCAATTAATTTTTACTCTATTTAATAAATTGATTAAAATCTTTTGTTGAGGAGGATTAAGAGCAACTTTCTGTGAAAATCAGGCAGAATCCAATAGTGACCCTCTTTGAGTGACCCTCTTTGAGTTTGCCATATTTTTAATATGTTGATGCTATTGATACTAAAAAGTAAACTTCCAAAAAAAATTATTGGTTTTTTCGATATTGGACATTATAGTTTGGCAAAAAATATTTTTGACCTCAAAAATTATGCAAAAAATATTCCCATAAATCCCATAATTTTTTTTAATTATTATAAATCTTTATGATAAAGATATATGATAAAGAGGGTTTACTGTAAAAATTTATTTTCAAATATGAGTATTTATTTTTTATATATCATGAATTAAATTTTTGTTCATTGCATTCATTTTTATCTAAATTCTTTGATAGTCTATTTTTTTTTTAAATTATAAATAAAATGATAAGGATGGGAGGTGGAGGAGGGGGTTGTTGCAACATTTTGTGAATAGTTAGTTCTTTTAAATATCAAATTAAAATTTTTTAGGTCTCAACTAGCTAATATATAATAATGAAATGAAATAACTAAAAAAAATGATGGACTTTCTTCTAATTTCATGTTTAAAAATAGGTTTGACAACATTGGGTCAAGAATTCTAAAGTTTTGTCAAATTTGAAGTCCAATATCTAGGGAAAAAATATTTTTTAATTAATAATTTAGCATTGATCTTCTAGTATGAATAGCAACAACATATTGTCAAAATACCAATTTTGAAGAAGCTCCCTTAAAAGCTTTGCCTAATTCTAACAGATGGTGGCTCTATAATAAAAAAAAAATCAGTCAAATCTATGTTTTTTTTTATTTTTACTATTGGAATACCCCATTGATATTTTTTATAAATATAGTAGATAAAAGGCTATTACTCATTTTTGAAAATAAACATTTACTGTTAAATCAGGGCCAGAGGTCACAAAAATTGCACTATTTGACTATACTTTCTTATTCTGTTAAAAAAATTATGGATACTTGTGGCTTTAAATAAAAATGAAGATCAAAAATGACAAAAAAATTTTTTTTTTTTGCATACTTTTGAGGCATGGTGTTTAGACAGACCAAAATGTTTACTTTATCTAGTTTATCATTTTTAATTCTAAACAAGCCAAAAAATAATAATCTGGTGAAATACCTATTGAAAAGTTTTATTAAAAATTAAAGTTTAAAAATGTTTTTGACACCATTTGATCAATAATAGCTTTAAGTATGATTTTTAACAACATTTAAAAATATTAGAGAAAAAATACAAACTTTTAATTTTATTTAAGTTTTTACTTTTAGATAAAGTCTGATTCTTAGAGAAAGCTGTTCTTAAGCATTTTAAAATAAGTTTATGAAATTTTTTAGCAAGGCAATTAAAAATTCGAAAAATTTATATTGTAGGTGTGTTATTTTTTATTGTACAACACATAACATACTGTATCTATAGGTCAAGACAAATCATAGGCCTGGTTATATATATATATATATATATATATATATATATATATATATATATATATATATATATATATATATATATATATATATATATATATATATATATATATATATATATATATATATATATATATATATATATATATATATATATATATATATATATATATATATATATATATATATATATATATATATATATAATATATATATATATATATATATATATATATATATATATATATATATATATATATATATATATATATATATATATAGATATATATATATATACATATATATATATATATATATATATATATATATATATATATATATATATATATATATATATATATATATATATATATATATATATATATATATATATATATATATATATATATACAGGGCGCAACAAATCGACAAATGTGCGAACATTAAAAAAAAAAGACAGAAAAACAAACGTCATGTTTCTTTACTTTTGCTTACGTACGTTTGTCTAAAATTTTTAAAAAATGTTGGCGTTCGTCTAGCGTTTAAAATGCATTATTTCAGCAAATTTTTTTTTTTTGCGAATAATTATGCAATTAATATTATTTTATTTGTTATAAAAAACACATATTTATAATTAAAAACAAAAAGAGTTACTAAAATTTAAATCACACCTTAATGACTTAAAAAGAAACCGTGCTTAAAAATGATTACATTCTTCAATAGCGTTACTTTTAAGCAAAATAACTGGGAATCTAGTTGATAGAATTAATTATATTATAGCTTGGTTTTTGCATGTGCTAACAAAAGAATGGAAAACTTTAGTTAAAATAAAGACATTTAAAATTACATAAAAAGAAACCATGCTTAAACTTAAGATTGTTTTTTTTTTGTGTGCTTTTTTATAATTTTCTTATTTTCCTTAGAGTAAAGTAATGCTTGTTTGCACATTTTGTGTTTCATTTTTTGCACAAAAACACTTTTTAAAAATTTAAAAAAAATTTTTAAGTTAGGCTGAAATATATATATTTAAATAGAATATAGAGAATTATTATGTTTATTTAGTTTTCCAAAGTTTAGTTTTTAATTTTTTTTTAACTTATTATTAAATACTTAACATTATATTATTTAAATTTTTTTTTAAAAAAAGAAACGTAAAAACAACTTTTATATTATTTTTAGGTCCTTTTATTTTAATTTCTTCTTTTTAATTTTATACATTTTTTTTATTAGTAAACATTTTATTAGTAAAGATATATGTATATATATATATATATATATATATATATATATATATATATATATATATATATATATATATATATATATATATATATATATATATATATATATATATATATGTATATATATATATATATATATATATATATATATATATATATATATATATATATATATATATATATATATATATATATATATATATACATATATATATATATATATATATAAGTTGATGAATTTTTTATTCCATTAGAATTCAAATCTTGTGTTACAAGCCGATCTTAGTTTAATTGAACGACGTGGTCGAGATGAAGCTACTGGAGAAGTTTTATCACTACAACATCACATTGAAGGAATCAAGATGGGGGATAAATATTTAAGATCTAAGCCGCCAGAGCTTGAAGATCAAGCTAAGAAAGCTAAGTGAGTTATTTTGTTCAATTTTATTTAGTCATTTTCAAATTTTAATTTCTACGTACTTTATTAAATGAAAAAAATTATTACTATTTTAGGAAACGCAAAACTGAAAAAGATGATAATTTAAACTATGGCAAACTCAAAAGTTCAACTCTGTTATCTGATAAAGTGGACGATATGGAGGGTATTTATTACAGGCCAAAAACTTCAGAAACTCGTCAAACATATGAAGTGTTACTTAGTTTCATTCAAGCCGCAATCGGTGATCAGGTAAAGTTCAAACTTTCATTATTTTATTTCTTATCATTTAAAATTAACTGTCATGATCTGTACGATACAGGTCGTGGTAAGTCTCTTCCACACTCGACTATATCTAAACTTGTTCTTAATTTGGTCTCTATACTTAAATTTATTATAGTAAATGGCAAAGAATTAATTGATTTAAAGTTCTTGTCTTTTGGTCAACAATTAATTACTTTACTTTATTGTGAATTGTGCTTATTTTCTTCAATATTTTTTACATAATAAAAGTACCTTTAACATATAAGATAGTTGCATAATATTTCTTCAGGTGTTTTTGGAAACTTAAGCTGTAATAATTTTTTACCTTCTCATTAAAATTTAATTAAAAAGCAAATTTTGACATTGAAAAACAGGCTAAAGAGACCTAGTTATTTTAAATAAGTTAGCTTTATCTGTTTGATGCTTTTTATAAAAGCTTTTTTGTAAAAAAAACTCTTAACAAATTCATTCAATTAAGCTGTTTGACTGCTTAGTTAGGCAAATAAATTATCGAACCTGTTGTTTGTGCCAAAAATCAATACTTAATGCAAATGGAAACTTCTAGTACAAAACGTGATAAAAGTATAAATGGTTTCTATTTACACATAAAAAAATAATGGAGATATAAAAAACAAAGCAAAAATGGCTCATATATCCATTCCAAAGATAAAAAATATAGAAATTTATTTGAGAAACAAAAAACATATTTTTCTTGAGATAAAATAAAAATGTAAACTTTAATAAAAGTTACAAAAAAATATTATATTCAACATAAAAAAGTATCAAAAATACTTATAAAAACAATTTAAATTGAAACATTGTTTCATTATTATATAGCTTTTAGTAAATGGTATGAAGATTATTAAAGCTTTTAGAATACAATCAGCATTCAGAGCATTTTTAAAATTCTGCTATGGAGGAACTTTCGAAAATCAGTCATAAGAGAAGAATTCGACCTAAAAATGGAACAAAATTATTATTTGAATACACTTAATACACATTAGTTTGTTATGTACTATTTATTTATTTGAAAACTTAAAAATGTGACCAAACAGATAACAAATAAGAAACTTTGTGAGGTTATTTTTCTTTTGTGAAAGTTTCAAGATGTATTAATGCAAGTTTGGATTAACAACTCTTTTTAAAAAAGCAAGGCTAAAAATAAATAAAAAATAAAAATTTACTTTAATTTAATTATACAGCCATCATTACCAGGTTGCTCCATTCTGAATGACACTGCTGAATTAGGATTATATATATTTAACTGACAATATGTGGGTAGAAAACCTTCAAAATTTAATGAGAGTTACTATAACTTATGTTATAACACTTTGCATACTTAGCTTTATAAAAATAAAACAAATTTAAGTTATTTAAATTTAATGAAGGAAAATAGAAACTTTTAAATGTTAAATGAGGAGGAGCTATTATTAAAAAGGAAGCTCATTTTTAACAAAATTTATTTATGAACGAAAGCATAAATTGTTAACAAAATAGAAAAGAATATATATCTTTAAAACTTTTTTTTTTTTAAATCAACAAAATACAAAATGTTAACAAAAAGGAACAGAGTGTTTATCTTTTTAAGAAAATTTACTTAAAAAATAATTGTATATAAATATTTAATGAAGTATATATCTTTTCAATAAAATTTACTTAAAATTATAAATATTAAAAAAATTATAGATATTAAAAAATTATATCTTTTTAACATTTCTTTTAAACACATTCTTTCAACAATATTTTTTCAACAAATTTTATGAATACACTTACTACATAAAGATTTAATTTATGTGTTTCATGATGACAGTACACCACTTTATGTGTTTCATCATGACAGTACACCACTTTATGTGTTTCATCATGACAGTACACCACTTTATGTGTTTCATCATGACAGTACACCACTTTATGTGTTTTATCATGACAGTACACCACTTTATGTGTTTCATCATGACAGTACACCACTTTATGTGTTTCATCATGACAGTACACCACTTTATGTGTTTCTTCATGACAGTACACCACTTTATGTGTTTCATCATGACAGTACACCACTTTATGTGTTTCATCATGACAGTACACCACTTTATGTGTTTCATCATGACAGTACACCACTATATGTGTTTTATCATGACAGTACACCACTTGACTGGCACAGACAACAGTAAGGGTGTTGATCTTGGCTAGCAGATCAACACCCTTACTGTAAACTAAGCCAAGTCAAAACAATTCAAAACAATGCAAAAAACATAATAACCACTTATAAACTATAAACACATAATACAAACTACAACACATCACAAACATACTATGTTACATAGAATCACTTTATATATAAAAGATATTAACACACTCACAAACCCATATAACCTTAACACATATAAACATAATAAATAATACATAAAAATAATTAAACATATAAATTAAAAAATATATGTAAATCAGAAACATTTACAAATACAACCTTATTTTTGTAATATTTGTTCAATGACATACCTCGTAATAAATGTTTATCAACGTAAAAAACAAAGATCAAAACAACCTGGTTTTTAAAATAATAAAAGCAATTTTTCAATCTGTAATTTTTCAAAAAATAAGATATTAAACGATCTTGTTCTTGAACATGCAACAGAGTTGATTGTGTGAGATGCAAGGGTTTTGAAGATAAACACCAACTTTATTAAGGGTTTGACCTCTTGACCTTTGTAAAGAGCATTGTCTTCTAGAGTCATCATCGTCTTCTAATTTTTTAAAATAAAAAATACATGTTTATATACATTAAATAAAATTGACAAAGGACTTGATTTGTGTCATTATTAAAATGCACGAACTAAAAAAAGTTCCTGACTTTGAAAATTGCTTTACTAATTTAAAAATAATATAAGGTTTATTCATTACTACAAAAGTTAAAAATTAAAAAGTTTTCGATCTTATTACTAATTAATCAGATATTAACAGATTATAAAGATTTAAGAATACCTCATCGTGTGGTCAAAAATATAAAGAAAAATGTTTTAAGGCCAAAATTGTTATAAACTCAGTGTCAACTGTGCATGAATAAGGTATTAAGTTCAGCAGTCATATATGGTGATTTTCATGTACAATTTCTATTTAAAATTATTGAATGTAATTAAATAAAAAATAAGTAATTTCAAGACGTCAAAAATTTTAAGGCCCACACATGTTTACTCACCATTTTTTAAAGTTTTTTTTCTTATTTTAGTTTTAGTCATATATAAAAAAAATATTTTGGAGTCAAAATATTTTCATTACAATAAACTAAACATAAACCTCTAAACAGAAACCTTTCATAACTAAATAGAAACCTTTCATAAATTTTTAAAGAAAAAAAAAAAGTGCAACTTCCGTCATAATTGCGTTTCACTCAAAGATAGGTATAATATATACCACAATATAAGAAATATTGTTGCATATGTTTTAAAGACTTCCAGATTCACAATAAAATACAAAAACAAAAACAACAAGTTTGTTTTTTGTTGATATATATTTATTATGTGGTTTTATTTAAAAAATTTAGCTCAAGCGTTTTTTTTAACATTTTCTTCAATATATGGATGACATATTCATAACATAACATAACATGTGTTGAGAGTTGGTAGTTCCTCTGAGTTTTTCATTTTCAATTGGATTTGAGAATGATATCTTCACAGGCTTAGTTGTTAGATGGATGCAGTAAAAACTTTATCAAAAATAGTGATAACTTGCAGGGGCCTTTTAGACCCTTTTCGACAGTGTTGAACATATTTAGGGAACATTTGGGTATTGCCCAAGTTCAGAAACTAAGGAGAGAAATTAATTGATTTTTTTTTTTTTTTTTCAAAAAATGCCTATATATGTTTCTGCAAAATTATTTAGAGGCATTTAAAATGTTGCTTTTTTGTGATAATAAAGAAGAATCTAATGCAGCTCTCTTTAATTTTTGTTCTTTTTTTTTTGTTTGTTTATAATATATACTATATTTTTATTTGTAATTATTAACTAGATTAAATCTTGTACTGTTGTCATTTAAACTTTTAAATCTATTAAAATAATTAAAACAAATTATATAAATATAAAATTTTATTTTATATTTCAAAGTTTTATCAAATGCTTTGCATTGTTTTCTATAAAAGGTTTAATTTCAGCCAAGAGACATACTTTGTGGTGCTGCAGATGAAGTTTTAATTACTTTAAAAGATGAGCGATTAAAAGTGAGTTAATTATTTTTATTTATTGTTCTTAATTTTTACCATAATGAAATGTTTATTTATTTATTGTATAAGTTCTTATCTTTTTTTACCAAAATAAAATAAATTGATTAGTTGTTTAAATTATATAAAAAATAGTTATTTTAATGTTTCCAAACACTTGATTTACAGTAAGTCAAATGTTAAGTAAAATTTTGAAACCATATTTTCATAAATTGTTTAAAACTTTTGAAAATAGTTAATTATTTTAATAGACTTATTTTAATTTATTTTGAATTCATTTATATTT